TGGCCACATCACTGGACTCTGATCTTTTCCTCCTTGTGAAGGTCTTGTGGATATCACACATATACATCCAAGGATCACAGAATTTTAAACCCACAATGCACCTTACAAATCACCCTGTCCCTACCCCATCCCCCTTTCACAGATGAAACTGAAGCCTCAAACCTGGCGCCCACCCCTGCAGCACTCTGACCTCATCTCTGACTACTTCTCAGTCACACGGCCCTCTGTTCCTCAGGCTCACTAGGCATACTCTGGACCCAAGGACCTTGCTAACTGCTGCTTTTTCTACCCTCCAGATTCCTCCCAATTCCTCCCTCCCTTGAGGTCTCAGGCTCAGTCACCTTGTCATCAGGACTTCCTTAATCTCATTACAAAAAATAGCACCCCCCATTGCTTTCTTTCTCCCTTACCCTGCTTTGTTTTAGTTTGTAGCACTTATTACCTCTTGGCATATTATACGGTGATTTGCTATTTTCTAGGTCCCATTAGTAGAGAGTAAATTCCATGACAGCAGGCACTTGGTCTATTGTGTTCACTCCCAATGCTTAGAACAGAGCTTGGCACACAAATTAAGGAGATTTATAATTTATAAATGAACATCTATTATATATAAATGAATAAAATATGATAAACAAAGGGGGCTCAACAACTTTCTCTAGAATGAATGACTAGAATGGCCCCTAACAGAGCAGGGCCTCAAACTGAGGACCTTGAATTCTCACTCGAGTGCCTTTCTCATGCCCAGCACCCGCTTCCATCTCACGTGACTCAGGATTTAGTCATTGTCCTTTGACGATTCTCCCACTTTGACTATTCTCTCTGATTGCCTCCCGTGTTTTGCATGCACCTGCTGTGTGGTGACCAGAGACAGAGTGCTGGGGAGAGGAGTCCAATTCAGTATGTCGGCATGGGTGGGAAGGAAAGGGCCATCTTTTCACCTTCATCAGAAAATCTACCCTCATGAGATTGAGGGACGAGAAGCGGGCAGACCCAGTGGGTCTCTGACTATAGAGAGAATAAAGATGGGAAAGTGTCAGTGAGGCCACGAGAGGCTCAGAACGGTGCTCGCTCATGCTGAGAAGAGAGAATATCTCTGGGCGGTGACTGGCCCTGGTGGGGCAAAGCAAAGGGTTGGAGAGGCAGCTGTGGTTTGTCTTCCTCCAAAAGATCCTAGAAGGAGTGTCTGGTTTCTTGCCACTCAGCCCTCTAAGACCAAGTCTGGGCTGAGCGTAGGAATCAGAGCTCCTGAATCCTAACTGCTCGGGAGGATAAAATCTGCCCTATTTGTTGGTGCTCAAGGAGACGTTTAAATAACAGCTTGGTGACAGCTCTTTCTACTTGCCCAGACCACCCATCTGTGACCTGCAGAGTAGATGGTCAGAGGGACCTGGCCACGGAGCTGCGTGCATACACCATGGTCGACATCCCGAGACCCCCTCTTACCCCCAACATCCCCCAGATCAAACAGAACATGCTCTGCCTTTCCATCCACACCGAACCTAGCCAGGCCAACAAGCTTTCCTCGCTGCGTTGGGTGGTTTGGGGAAGAGGCTTTCCCTTCCTCTGTGAAGTGGGTGTAGTAGAAATAACCTCATAAGACTGTGGTCGTGATTAAATATCTAAACTCATTGTTGCCTAGATATTGCATCTCTATTCTCCTTAACAGCCTTCACTGATCCCTCCTTTGGACTTCACGGAAACTCTGACCTACTTAACTATAACATATAAGGGCATTCTCTGTGGTCTCCACTAGACTGTAATCTCTTCGGCTTTTTGAGAGCAGACTTCCTTCCGCCTTATTCTTTTGTATCCTCAATCTCACTAATTCAAGCCTTTTAGGCAAAATGGTACTAGAAAGGGGCAGGGGCCCTGCTGGAGGACTTGGGAATGCCCAGCAGGGTGGGAGCAGACATAGAGGAAATGAGGTTGGAGGACAAGGAGATGGCGAGGATCAGTCTCCAAGAGGGATGATAGGCCCAGTTCTTTGGTGGAGGAGACAGGCCCCAGAGATGTTGTACAGGCTGGATTCTGGAGCATGCCAATTCAACAGGGAATTGGGGGTGGGGGGAAGGGGGGTTGGCTCAATCCCCTCATTTGGCAGGTTAAATGACTTGCCTGTGACCGAGTCAGGTCCCTAACTTTGGGAAGAAGGTTCTTTTGGATTGGCAGGGCCCTCCTGAGTCCAACGCCAGGCTGCTGGGTCCTGCAGTGCAGCCTGAAGGCTGCTGCTGCAGCTCTAAACCAGGGCAGAGGGGTAGGAGGCGGGGGTGGGGGGAGGGGGGGAG